GCAACTAGCAGGTCAAGCAGCAAGAAACAATGGATTTTCAAAACTAAGGTCAAGCCCTGCAGGGACAAATAAAAACTGGAAAAAAATCAGAAAATAGCCAATTATTTTCCTGACTGTGGAGTCTGCAGAAAAAGCCTGCTTGCACTTGCTGAATTAAAAAAAAGACACCATTCTAAAGAAGAGGTGTGATTGCTGAGGCCTTTCTACATTTGTGTTGTTTCTGCTATTGCTACTCATAGTCACAAAGCCCTACTCATAACTGTGAGGACAAGCTGAAGGGGAAATTACAGAAATTCTAGTAAAAAGAAGCCTAGAAATTGCCCCCAACAAGCAACTTTGTGAAACTCCTTTCCTGGTATGACAGTGAGTTTGGTGACTGCCACGGGTCTGTGTACCTGATGTCTGCATGATCTTCTAGGTGTAAGCAAACCTAGGACCACCAGCCCCAGCAAGAGCACCAGAGAAAAAGAAAGACCCTCAGCTGCTGGGGAGCCCTCCTTCACTATTCAAACACTGACAGTCTCCTATGGGCTCTGATCCCATCCCAGATCCCCTGAAGTGGAAGCACTTAGGGAGCCCTCTCTAGTCACTATCAATAAATAGATCTTTCAGTATCTCCAGTATCATCAAATAAAGTCCATCCATCATACCCCACAAAATAAGCCGGAAATAAATCCGTCCACAGGTCTTCTTCAAGAGACTTAAAAACTGTTGCAAAAATATCCTTTTAATGTGAATTCCCATACTTTAAGACATTAATACAGGGTAAATGTATTAAAAAAAAAGATAATACGGGTTTCAGGAGATACAGTGTATCTCTTGACTTGTATGCAGACAACCCTGGTTCAGTCTCCGCTCTCCCAAAATACAACATTGAGTATTTGTGCAATATTTTTAGAAGGAGTGATCATCACAACTAAAAATGGTACAGCTATAGTATATATAGCATTTCCTTTCACCCCTGTCATTCATAAGAACATTCCATCTTTTCTTCCTCGTACTCCTCAAGGTCATCAGTATTCAGCGAACACCAGTTCACTGTGAGGATCACAAAGGCAATGTGATGCATTATTATAGATCTTTAATGAGCTGGTAATGTAAAAGGAGAATAATTCAATAAAAATAGAATTGCCAAATGCATGCCAGTAGGAACATCCAGTACAATACCAAGTGAGAAAAGTAATGTTACTGGTATTATACAGGAAAACATTAGCTATCCGATCTTCTCTGAATTTATAGGAGCACACCTTCATGTGCTCAATTTGAAGGTTGGTAGCATTTAAATGTAAGGATATGTTCTTAGTGACTCAAAAGATAGAGTTGTTTAGGTTTTTTTTAATGGTTTCTTTGTTTTCTTGGGGACAGTGTATTCCGAGGCTCATGGGTCCTGCCTATGATTATCAATTAACCAGACCCCAGCAGTTCAATGTAAGGGCCAGAGGGTGTGATATACATCAGTGCTGAGCATATCCAGGCTAACCAGATGGTGCCCCATTAGGGTCTCCACGGTGGCACCCAGCAATGCTCAAGGAACCATTTGGTGCCAGGAAACAAACAGATGCTGGGTGTATGTTAGACATCTGCCTGGACCTCAATAGTATCTTATGGTCCTAAGTATTTGTTTTTTAGAGCCAAATTATTCTTTTCTCTTACCTTAATTCCTCTAGAAAGATACCTCTGTGTTTGATTATTGAGGAATATCTCTGGCAGTACTGAACATATTCATGGGTTGGACATTGATTAGTTTTTGGGTAGGGGTGCTAGATGTAGCAAATAATGGGGCCCAGTTATATTTGAATTTCATATATACCACAAATACTGTTTTTGTAAGCATATCTTGTGTTTTATATAAGTATATCTCATAAAATATAAATATAAAAATTCATGAGTATAAATATTACATGGAATAAACTTAAACTCAGAAATAATGTTTCTTCTCTGAAATTTAGTTTTGCTAGGCTTATTTTAAATAGTGTTTTTATTTCCAGTGTAACTATACATGCAACATATTCTATTTTTGGCCGTGTGTGTGTATGTGTGTGTCTTTGTATGTTGCTAGCAATTGTAGTCAGGGCCTCATACATGTACGCCATGCTTATATGCGTCTGTGAGCTGAGTTGCATCCTGAGCACAGATCATTTTTTTAAAAAAACTTTTATTGAATCACTGTGAGATAGTTACAAGCTTTCATGTTTGGGTTACAATCACACAATGATCAGTCACCCATCCCTCCAACAGTGCACATTCCACACCACCAATATCCCCGGTATACCCCCCCTTTTCCCACCCTCCCCTTGCCTTCATGGCAGACAATATTCCCAATACTCTCTACTTTGGGGCATTATGGTTTGCAATACAGACCCTGAGGGGTCATCATGTTTGGTCCTTTATCTACTTTCTGCACACATCTCCCATCCCGACTGATTCCTCCAGCCATCTTTTTATTAGTGATCCCTTCTCTATTCCAGCTGCCTTCTCCCCTTTGCTCATGAAGCAGGCTTCCAGCTATGGAGCAATCTACCTGTCCCATGGATCTACTATCCTTAGGTGTCAGCCTCATGTTATGTTGTTTGATACTCCACAAATGAGTGCAGTCCTTCTATGTCTGTCCCTCTGTTTCTGACTCATTTCGCTTAGTATGATACTCTCCATGTCTATTCATTTATAAGCAAAGTTCATGACTTCATCTTTCCTGACAGCTGCATAGTATTCCGTTGTGTAGATATACCAAAGTTTCTTTAACCAGTCATCTGCTCTAGGGCACTTGGGTTGTTTCCAGATTTGGGCTATTGTGAACAGTGCTGCAATGAACATATAGGTACAGATGTCATTTCTACTGTGCTTTTTTGCATCCTCGGGATATATTCCCTGAAGTGGTATTGCAGGGTCATATGGAAGCTCAATTTCTAGTTTTTGAAGGACTGTCCATATTATTTTCCAGAAAGGCTGGACTAGGGGCATTCCCACCAACAGTGAAAGACTGTCCGTTTTTACCCATGTCCACACCAGCACTGCCTGCTTTTGTTCTTTTGAATGTGTTCCAGTCTCTGTGGTGTGAGATGATATCTCATTGTTGTTTTGATTTACATCTCCCTGATGGCTAGCAATGTGGAGCATTTTTTAATGTGCCTTTTGACCATTTGTATATTTTTTTTGAGGAAACTTCTGTTCATTTCTTCTCCCCATTTTTTGATGAGGTTGGAGGTTTTTTTTTCTTGTACAGTTCCACTAGTGTCTTGTATATCCTGGATATTAATCCCTTATCATATGTGTCACTTAAAAATTTGATTTGATTTTAATAAATCATATGTGTATTGGGTAAATATTCTTTCCCATTCTGTGGGCTCTTTCTGTATTTTGGCCAGTTTCTTTTGAAGTGCAGAAGCTTCTTAGTTTGATGTAGTCCCATTTGTTTATGTTTGCTTCCACTTGCATGGTCAGTGCTGTTTCATCCTTAAAGATGCTTTTAGCTTCAATGTTGTGGAGAGTTCTGCCTACATTTTCTTCTATGTACCTTATGGATTCATGTCTGATATTGAGGTCTTTAATCCACTTTGATCTGACTTTTGTGCCTGGCATTAGACAGAGGTCAAGAGGTTGTTTTTTTTTTTTTTTTTTTTGCGGGTAGCTATCCAGTTTTCCTAGTACCACTTGTTGAAGAGGCTTTCCTTGTTCCACTTCACATTTCTTACTCCTTTGTCAAAGATTAAGTGGTCATGTATTTGGGGGTCTGTGAGCACACACCATTTTTATTAAGTTTATTAAGTTTCATTGCTTTTTAGCAGTGTACAAGTTTCATGCGTGAATCATTGAAAGTCAACATGTGCTTCTCCTTTATTCTGATTTATGTCCTATATACATTAAAAATATTTTCGGAATTAGCCTTAATGTCCAAATTGTAGCGGTAGGGCATTTGCTTTGCACGCAGCCAACATAGCTGACCCAAGTTCGATTCCTCCGCCCCTCTAGGAGAGCCCGGCAAGCCAGCGAGAGTATCTCGCCCACACGGCAGAGCCTGGCAAGCCACCCGTGATGTATTCGATATGCCAAACACAGTAACAACAAAATCTCCAATGGAGACGTTACTGGGCCCGCTTGAGCAAATCGATGAACAATGGGAGGGCCTTTACCTTTATCTTTACCTTTATTGAAAAAAATATTGTATTTTCTGGGTGATTCTCATTTTGTTTTTTTAAAGCACATTCAGGTAGGGAAAATCTGACTGTAGACATATGTATATCAAGTGTAGGCTTACAAATTTTGATGATAAACATTTATCCATATTTTCAAAATGTCCTACAAATATCCTACCTAAAAAAATCCTAGCTTTGGAAAGAATTTTTGAAGATAAATTTAGTTTCTTTAATGTTTTTATATTTGAGGGGGCACACCTGACAGTTCTCAGGGGTTACTCCTGGCTCTGCACTCAGGAATTACTCCAGTACTCAGGGGACCATACGGGGTGCCAGGGATTGAATCTTGGTTGGCTATGTGCAAGGCAAGCACTCTAACCACTGTACTATCACTTTAGCTCTGTAATGTTCTTTACCTTTAAGAGTTAAATCAAACGTAGATTTTTGGAACTGAAAAGAGACAAGGGTTCACAAAACCTAATGAATTTGAAGTAATCAAGAAAGATTTACCTATAACAAAATAAACAAAAGTTTACTTAACTTACCTAAAACAGTTCCCCAGCCCTATGTATCAGCTTGGAATGTTGGATCAGTGAGTGTTTTAATTCAGCAAACAGTTATTCTGTTTTTAAAAACTCTGCTAAAAATCAATTGAAAAAAAGGAAGGAAAAGAAGCCCCTCAGCTAGTACTAGTTATTGTTAACCACTTCATTCAGTGAGGTTCCTTCCATAGGATACTTTTGAATGTATTTGAACCTAAATAGTATACTTAAAACTGATTTCTTATTTTTCCGTAATAGTATATTAAATGTTTTATTTTTTCATTGAAGAAATGCATCATTTGACATTTGTGTTTTTTTCATACAGCTGATGGGAAATGTCTGGTGTCAGTTGGTTTAGACGATTTTCACAGTATTGTATTTTGGGACTGGAAAAAGGGAGAAAAGATAGCCACAACAAGGTAAGAAGCTGCTGAAACCTTACAGCATCCAACCTATAATCACGGTTCAGTAATTGTCACTAGTTTTCATTTTATGGAAGATTTTACCTTTGAATTCAAGTGAAATCCACGTAGGAAGCTTAATACCTAAGGAGAAATATATTGCAAATTTCCTGAAAATAAACCCCACTTCTGGCTGCTAATGTTTATTTGAGAGAATTAGAAATTTCTGAGAACTTTCCAGAAAGTAGTCACTTTACTCTTAGTCATACATGCAATATCTCTCTCAAAGCATTTTTAAAAGCAGCTTTTCCCAGGCGTATGCCGTGCCTCTTGTTTTTCCACTGTCAAAGCATCTGGTAAAGGATCGTCAGTGTCACTGGAGTCACATGTGCCATTTGTCATGAGGCTGTGGCATGCCATCAAGGAGGCCCCATCATGTACATTTGCCAGTTGCTTTCAAAGCAGGCAAATTGTTTCTCTAATCTCCTGTCTTATAAATAGACCTTTCAAGACCGTCTGCTCTTTATAGACCACCTGTCCTCCCTTACCCCAGCCTCCCTTGCTGCTGAATCAGCCAAAAAAGCTGACCATTACTTTCCACTCCTGCTTATGTTGAGCTTAACTGTTGGTCCAGCCGTGGTCAGAAGTCAAAGCTGTTGGCAGCGAATCCAGCAGTATGATTTGTTGTTCAGTTGTGTTAGCAGTTTACTGCTGCTTCTTCCCTGCATTAACAAATGTTGTAATTGACTAAAATTATTGTATTGAAGTTTAATGGCTCTGAATTTGAAAAATTTCTCTTTTGGAAATTTTTAAGTTGATTATTTTTCAAAAGCTATCTTTTTTTGCTGCTATAAAATATCAATAAATCAATGGTATGAGTAAATCTATGCTAATACATTTTAAAATTTATTTGAACAGGAGGAAGAAAACTTTACAACTTCTTCATAGAAGCTTATTATGCGTTTTCCTGCTTTTTCTGTGAACGGTAGTTAGATCTGTGGGTTTGATTAGCTTTGCTTTCAGATTTTGGGAGCATTTTTTGTTTGGTTTTTGTTTGCTTTGCTTCTTTTTCTTCTTGTAGCAGTTACTGGGTCACACAGGTGTTTGTGTACATGGGGTTGGGTGCTCAAAGGGGATTGCACTACTAAGTTGTGACGCTCACATTTGTTATCTTGAGGGGTCACATATCTGACTGTGGGACTTACCACATTCTGTTTTGCTTGTCACATACTCTGTAGAGGTTCCTGTGGTCCCAAACAGAATCTTTGGGACCATGCTCAGTATTCATGATTCAAACTCATGGTCTCATGCAAGCAAAGCAGGCACTTTCACCACTGAGCTAGCCCAAAACCTGGTTGTATTTTTCTTAAGAGTTTAATTATTAAATCATATGCCATATAGATGCCTCTTTTAAAGCAGACTATTTTTAAAGTACATTACAGAGTTGTGTGATGATAACATTTGATTTCAAAACATTTGCATTTTCCCAAAAGAAACTCTTATGCCAGTTTTCAGTTAATTTACCTTCTGTCTCTATGAACTTGTTTATCCTGTGCATTCTTATAAATAGAATAAAAACATTATGAGGCCTTTGAGACTAGTTTCTTTAACTCAGCATATTATTTTAAAGACCTTCGTGGCATTTACAATACTTCATCCCTTTTTGTTGCTAAATAGTATTATACTATATGGATCTACTACATTCTATCCTTTCATCAGTTGATAGACATTTAGATTGCTTTTACCTTGTACACATTAAAAATAACATTGCTATCAAAAATCACACACAAGGTTTGGAGTAGAGTATGTTTACTATCTCTTGGATATATGCTTTATAGTTGAATTGCTGGTTTATTGGGTAACTAACTTTTTTTATTATAAAATTTTTTAATAGTGAGACATCATGAGGTACAGTTGCAGACTTACACATTTTTGTGCTTGGGTTTCACTTATACAATGATCAAATACCCATCCCTCCACCAGTGCCGTTTTCCCACCACCACGGATCCCAGTATCCCTCCCACCCCCATCCCCCCCATTCCACCCTGTCTCTGTGGCAGGGCATTCCCCTCTGTTCTCTCTCTCCTTTTGGGTGTTGTGGTTTGCAAAAGAAACATTGAGTGGCAATCATGTTTGGTCTATAGTCTATTTTCAACATGCTTCTCCCATCCTGGGAGGATCCTCCCAACACCTTTATTTGGTGTTCCCCTCTTTATCTGAACTCCCTTTTCCCCTAGTATGTGTGGTTGGCCTCCAAGTCAAGGAATAAAATTCCTAGTACTAATCTCGGCCATTCTTGGGTGTTAGTTTCCTATTCTGTTACTTTATGTTGGGTAACTAACATTTTAAGGTAGCATCAAATTGTTTTCAAAGTGACTGCACTTTTTTACATTACCAACATTACATTACAAAATATGACGTTCCCACATTCTTCACATCTTTGCCAACACATTATTTTATGTCATTTTCATTATAACCTTTCTGAGGTGAAATAATCTCCTATGGTTTTTATTTTCGTGATCTAAATGGCTTGTTAGGCAAAAACATCTTTTTATATGTGTACATTTATGGTTTCTGTAGAAATGTCTATTTAAGTATTTTGACCATTTTAAATGTAGCACTGTAGCACTCTCCTCCCCTTGTTCATCGATTTGCTCGAGCAGGCCCAGTAACATCTCTATTTTGAGACTTGTTGTTATTGTGTTTGGCATACTGTATTTGGCATATTGAATACGTCACGGGTAGCTTGCCAGGCCTTGCCGTGCAGGCGAGATACCCTCTGTAGCTTGCTGGGCTCTCAGAGGGGGCAGAGGAATCGAACCCAGCTCGGCCGGGCTGGCTGCACACAAGGCAAACGCCCTACCACTGTGCTATCACTCCAGCCCAGCTAGCTCAGTTGGTAGAGCATGAGACCATTTTAAATAATATTTTTATTTTTGAGTTGTAGAGTTTTTCAAACATATTATGATACAGTCCCTTATCAGTTATGTGATTTGCAAATATTTTCACCAGTGTTCAATATTTTAGACTAGAATGCATCCTTCTGCATTATATCAGTGATATGGTGCTTCCCAGGTATAAGAAATCAGGCTATATTATCTATGCAATACACCAACTGAAACTGTGATTTTTATTATCCCCATGAACTAGCTATGCTAAACAATGTCAGGCATGTAAATCTTCTCCCCCAGGGTAGACCATTACTTCATTGTTATACCACTGTGCAGAATGTGTACTCGACCTACTTTAGTAGTGCTTTGCTGAACTATGGGTTCTGGTAGTGATCTGAGCCTTCCATTAAGAGCTTCCGGTTAGTGAATTATCTAATATTTGTAGCCTTCATTTGCATTTGTGAGCTAAACTAATGACTTAATTAGAGGTTTAAAATGAGAATGTAATTCATTGTTTATATTACTCGGATTCTTCTATAAATAAGAATATCCCCTCATAAATCATTTGGTTCTCTTAAAATATAACTCACATAGCAAGTAATCCTTTAAATATTAGGGTCATATATCCTTTGTCTTTAACTCAGAGCTATTTATCCTCATTTGTCTTGAGTTTTCTGTGGCATCTTTCATCATGCAAAAGGTTTTTTGCGTGGGGAGGGGGCAGAGAGAGAGTACAGTGGGTAGGGCACTTCCCTTGCATGTGGCTGACCTGGTTTCTATCCTGGGCATCCCATATGTTCCCCAAGCATTGCCAAAAGTTATTCCTGAATTAAGAACCAGGAGTAAACGCTTAAGCATCTCTGGACATGGTCCAGAAAAAAAGATTTTTATGTGGAAAAGTTGATCAATCTTTACATTTACCATCTTCTACAAGATTTTGAGTCATTGTGAGAAAAGTATTTCTTATTCTCAGGCTAAAGGGAAATTACTCATAGTTTAATCTACCATAGTTTCATTTTTATATTAATACCTCAAAGCTATTTAGAATTTATCCTAGTATCTGTTTTGAGGAACAGATTTAACTTTGTATTTTTTTCCATGTGGCTAATTAGTGTCTTCTAAACTTTATTATTTTATTTTTGAGATTTTAGAGAACAGTGTTTAGGTTCATGACAAAAATTTGGTTTTTTTTTTTTTTTTTTTTTTTTTTTTTGCTTTTTGGATCACACCTGGTGATGCACAGAGGTTACTCCTGGCTCATGCACTCAGGAATTACTCCTGGCAGTGCTCGGGGGACCATATGGGATGCTGGGAATCGAACCTGGTTCGGCTGCATACAAGGCAAATGCCCTACCCACTATGCTATTGCTCCCGCCCCCCATGATAAAATTAATCAGGAAGTTCAGTTTGTGTAATTCTTCCCAAATACATACGTACTCACATATATCCCTATATTGCAATAAAGGGTGCATTCTCTACAGATTATGGAGGTACACTAATATCCAATCTCCAAAGTTTACATTTGGGCGCACTCTTAGTTTTATGCATTCTATGAGTTTCAGTAAGTGTGTAATGGTAAGAATGATATGAGTGATTTTTAATTGTTTCACTTCACTGCCTAAAAATCCTTTGTACTCTGCCTATTTATATCTTCCTCATCTCTGTCCTGGAAACCACTAATCTTTTTATTGTTTCTGTAACAACATTTCCAGAATCTCGTATAGTTGGAATCATGCAGTGTGCATATAGTTTTTATTTTCAGACTGGATTTTTAAAAATGTTTCCTATATGATTTTACCTGACTGAGTAGGTCACTTCCTTTTAATATCAACTAATAACCCATTATCTGGATGTGCCACTGTGAATTTATCCATTCCCTACTAAAAGATATCTTGGTTGGCTCTATATTGATAGTTATCATTAAAGCTACTTCAACATTTATGCACAGGTTTTTTTGTGTACCTAAGTTTTCAGCACCTTTGAGTGAATACTAAAGAATAAAATTGCTGGATCCTGTAGTAAGATTAATATGGTTTTTTAAGAAGACACAAATCTGTCTTCTGTAGTGACCATACAATTTTGAATTCCTTCCAGCAGTGGGTGAGTTCTTTTTGTTGTTCATGGTTG